TACTACAACGATATTTATTTATTTTATTTACCTCAAGGTCGGCACTTGAGTCGAGGTTATAATAAATTATACTATCACAAGAAGGTAGCGGGAATAGGTTACTCCTGATAATTGTCGACCATAAATACAATGCCTCGACACAAGTGCGCATGATGATACCTGTTTCAGTCCTGGAAGAAACAGAATAGTATCTTTCCCCCTAATGAACTCAACGCGAAGAACTAAAATTAGTATCATACCTTCTATTGATTTCAATTTGTATATTAGTATCATAGTATATACAGTCTTCGATACCCCATCTTATTTCTGCTATGAAGTCTGGACTCTGGTGTTCTGGTTTAATCATGTGTACCAGAGCATTCGGTATAAAGTGTAAACAGCATTGCAACGGTTATTAAGTGTATTGTGGCATATTATTTGTTCGATTTAAAAGGCTATCTTAGTTCTGCCGGTTACCTTGTGACGTGTGTGCTGCTGAATTGCTGTACCTATATATTTCAATAAAAAGTACACCTGAAATCAGTGAAAACTGAAGAAGATCAAAAGAACAAAAAACAAAACCTGTAAAAATCAAAAAAGCAAAAATAAAAAGCCAAATTATGACGGGCATGATTGCCGTAGCCAATGAAAGGCCCTCAAAGGAAACATTGCTGACTCAAAATAAACAACGCACGACTGCGCATTTGCGCAACAATGATTAATAATAAAAGCAGTGTGAGAGAACAAGCAACTTCAATATCAACAACACAAGAAGAAGAAGAGAGAATACAGAGTTCTAGCGAAGCTAACGTGTATTTAAAGTTAGCAGGGCTCAATCATTTAAAACATTAATTATAATCAGACACATGATCATTATCGCGCTTTGAATTGCAGGAATATATATACATAAATCAACATGGCGCATCTAGGACTCTCTTGGAAGGTAACTACCTCACTACCCCCTGCTGCTCTATGTTTTTACTCGTGTTTGCGATGGTCTAATTTGCTGCTCCTGTGCATTCGTAATCTGTGTATGAACTAATTTGGCAGCGGTGTATGATAGAATAGAAGGCCGTATTTGACCTTCTGTGTACTAACTAGCTGTAGCTCAGAAAGGTGGGTAAGTCACAATTGTGCACGTGTCCGAGTGTATACACTTGTCTGAGCTTCTGTGCTCAATGATGTCTGGCGTGCACATGCATAGAGGTTCTGGCTTTATTATTCAAAGGATCAATGTCAACTGTGTGGTGACTGGTATAAAGTAGTGCTCCCTAAGGTGCCATGTTCGTGCTTCTTATCGATCCGAGCTATGAACTGAGTTATTGTTGGATGCGGCGTACAGCTTTTTTTATCCGCTGGCAGTGCCCCAAAAATATTATGGCCGCGAGTGTCTTGTCTTACGATCTTATGTGGGGGTTTACATTCAATTCAAAACTCGAATACGAAAATTCCCAGTTGAATGCGATGTAAATAGCCTATTTTCGCTGTGAAACGCTGCTCCATAGACACACAGCACATGTAACCTGTTTCGCGCTCGATTCCTCCTTACTATCGAGCCTCTCTCTGGAATTGATCAGTGTAGCATCTCCTGCTACTCAACGAGTAGCGCTGAAGCGTAGCTCGATTTTACCCATACTTACTGCTCAACTCAACTTTTTTCCTCACCTCGGGCGTGGTCTATATACAGATCATCAATGCGAGTTCTTTCGCTGTAAATACCCTGGCCACATATGTGGTCGGTGCCTCAAAGCACTCTGCGGTGAACATACTTGGTGCTACCTTTGTGTCGAACCAATCTATCTCCGCCAAGTATCCCACGCTTGTCACCCCCAGGTATGCTACTCACGATTACAAGCCAAGCTGGGTTGAAAGTTGCGCATGCTAAGTAACTATGTATTCGTCGCAGATCATATTCTCTCAGAATCCGTGTTACAAATCATTTTGTAGAAACGTATGCGCCACATTTGTACTTCCGTGCTATTCAAAGGCTCAAGTAAGTGTTTCATATTATTGTGTTAATTTATTTCATCTTAAGTTGTTCTGAATCACCTGTGAATTTCAGACGTGATATTCTATCGTTCATAATTCGAAATCCAACGGTACATATCTGTATAATGCTGAGATGCCAATGTCGTAGGTTAGGTACACTGCATGTACAGAAAGTTGTAGCGGGGTCGATTGTGTGTATGGTTCATCGGAAAATCAACTTCTGCAAATAGAAAATGGTCGCTTGTAGTCTCCGGGCCGAAGCCTACGTATAGTGCTTCGAAGTATAAAATTATACAGACAGCAGGTCTTTTTACTGCTGAAAGGTCTCAGGCCACGTAAATAACACGTACACTAACCACGCACACAACAGCGGGTACGCTTTCTCTATTTGGGGACCCATCTTTCTGCTAGAGGGAGCTGCCACCATATACGATGTTTTCGTGGCCAACAATGCCGAGAAGACCCCCTCAGGCACCACCGTCACAGCTCTATTAGGCGAGAGCAGTGTGTACTGGAGTGCAGCATGTCTCTTGCAGGCGTCTTGGGCTTTCATCTTCGGTGCTAACCGCATTGTGGAGTCAACAGTTGCTATGATGGGAATCGCCTACTGTATGCGTCAGGTGTATGCTACGAGTGCGGCAATCCAAAGGTGTGTTGACGCAGGCAGCTAGCTGTTTTTATGATATCGTCATGGCTGCACCGCTCCTCTATCACTACACTGCTCACGCGAACAAAAGATAGGTTGTGAGTATTACGTGGTTTGCTAACCGACGAGGGAAGTTGTCTCTGATATAAACATTTTGCCTGTAGTTATGGCAGTCCAATACTTTTATAATTATGTCGACCTCGTTGGAGTGTCTTCTGTTGGTGTGATGATATAGTATGTGGCAGAGGTATAGTACCGGGTGTAAGCACTGGAATTCGATCATTTGCTTTGCTTGTTGTTCTGTCTGGTTATTTATCTATATAGTGGAATCGTGTTCATGCCATGCGATTTGGCGTCTGATCTAAACTCGCTAGACCATAGTGGGCCTTGTTTGTTAACAAATTGGACATTAACTCGTGTTAATATCTGTTCGATTAGCACTTGTTGATATACACATTTTAATATAGGGTGTCGTATTACGAAGCTATGTGTCCGTTTGTATACTTCCTGATTATATTTGAGCAAATCGAGAATTTGAAAGTATAAACGAAGTTCCTTTCATAACCAAAACGATGCCTGCATCCATGAGTTAAAAAAAACTTGTGAGCGAACCAGTGTCACTCCAGAAGGATATTTAGCACTATGGTTGTCTGATAGCACCTCCGTAACCAGTATCCATGTAAAAAGATTGTACATACTTTTCGAATCACAGTGGCGGTGAGAGCGGACTGACAGTGCGCAATGTAACGCTCAGGCTGACGCAACTGGCCTTCTCGCTGCACTCCGCCTGGGTGAACTGTGCTGCTATTATCAACGTCAACATGGCTGCTAACGCTCTTGGACTTTCCTACGAGGCTCAGATGTACATAGCGTGGGCTAGTATGTTCGCTGCTGTCGGCATCGCTCTGTACACCACGTACAAGTATCAGGATCCTGTACCTGCCATTGTAACTGGTATGTGAACATGAATTTTCTTGCATACGGAATATATTTTGATGAACTGATTGTGAGTTTTTTGAATGCAATCGGAGGCCGGATGATCAATTTGGCAATATGTAATTGTTTCTGTGTTCAAACTTCAGATATGCTTCTTTCACGATTCTCAGTGTTGTATGCCAAGGACTATGCATTGCTTTACAATATTAGACAAGGAGTGTTATCCCGATATGTATCCTTTCATCAGGGTGAAATAATTGGGTTAGACTTCGTCCGTGCCTATAATGTAAACACATACTAAATTTGCTTATATTATTTGTACAGCTTGGGCACTTATCGCGATGGGCAACAACGACACAACGCCATACAGTGCTGTCTACGTTGCTCTCAGTGTAGCGAAAGCGCCAGTAGACACATTACAAGCACAGTACACAGTCGCCGGCTATGCCGTAGGATTCTTCGGTGTAGTGCAAGCCGCTATACCTCTCCTCACTAATTAATCAACTTGAGAAGAAGCAAACGCTTGTCATGACTTCGACCCGGGTAATTGAATCTGTGTTCAATAAATAAGATGAATCGACAAATAACCTGTACAAGGTGGTAAATAAAGGAAGGGATGTAATATCGAGATCGACACCTGGGTAGGTGCCTGGGATTTCTTCCTTTGAGAATGATTGGCTAGCGTGTATTGGGTATGAGTAGTTGGTCGTTCAGTGAGTTAGCATATTAGCACAATGGAAAGCTGTGCTGTGGGGTATTATTTGCACAGACGAGTGCTTTTGAATTTCGAATTGAACCGGTGCAGTGTTTCCATTCCAAAGGTATATTATTTCTACTGCACTGTACTGTCTAGTACAACTACTTTCATATGAGGTCACAGAGAACTGTTTCGATATTTTGGGCAGCGACAACTGTGTTCGAACTTAATTTTCTTCGAAAATTTGTGAGCATACTAGAGATAGCTACAATAACAAAGGGGGATTTGTAGCCAAGGGTGGCCGTGGTATGTTGTACTCTGGGAACAAACGTGTTCGATATTGAGATGCGTAACTACTTTACAGCTACCCCGAAAAAAATACACATTTAGATACATCCTTGTGAAGTAGCCGGCGAAGCAATTCAGCCCCTCCAAGGAATTTCGAAGATCACCGGTCGATACCATGGTATACTGGATGGCAAAGGGTGACTTGCAAGGGATTCTATGAAATACGCATACCAACTACAAATACGGGGTTCATCAGTTCATCATCACCAGCAATTAAATAAATTACTGATATATACAATTGAATACTATACTATTCGGTCGGCACCATTGTATTAATATTTTGTCATGATTTATCGTCACGATTTAAATTATAGCATAACACGATTGAGTACCCCCGCCGATATAAATAGGTTCATTTGAACTATAACTGCTCCATTGTTGACCATCCATGAATAAACAGAATCAATGTTGATTTATACAATTAATGTTGTGACGTTTTGGGAAAACCTATGTATACACATCAATTTAGACATGAAGATCATATTATTTTGCTTGTGCTTAGCATGTATATTATCTAGGTGGCTCGGTGGCACTTTGTTGTCGGTATCGGTATAACCCTGCGCAAAGACTTTTGTTGGAATTCGAATACTAGATACATTCGACATAGACCTACAAGTATTCAACAACTCCTTACCGCTTCAGACAGCACCGACATCATATGTACATGTATCAATTTCTATACGGTATACATGGATTCGTGTATATGTATGTGCACGATATGCATAAATACAAATATAATAGTATATATACACACACATATATATATATATATATATGCATGTATATATATGTATATATATATATATATATGTATATGTATATGTATATTTATATAAATGTATAAATATATATATGTATATATATGTATATATATGTATATG